CTTTTTCAATCAGAGCAAATATTTCACCTTATTTCAACCCACTGCCTACTGGAACCGAGTGGTCCATTTGTTAAGCCTATAGTGGTGAGATAATTCGGTGATAATCGGGTCAATACAAAGCTTGATCAGTGACCACCTCGCCTATGATATAGGAAATTTTATTTCTTCCCTTGAATATATTTTGTTTTCCTTTTGAATATATTTTGTTTTCCTTTTGAATATATCTTTGGCGTTCTCTCTCTCTCTGGCCTAGATCGACCTGGCTTCCATCAAGACCATGTTCAAGGAGAAATACACCACCACCCTGGCCGCCACGGTCGAAGACGATACCAGTGGAGACTAAAAAAAATGTTCTCATTGGTCTCATCAACGCCGATGCTGCACCTACCCCAGCCCCCACCACCACCTAAAGACCGGATGGAGTCATTCCTTACGTATTATGAAGAAAATAACTTTACCAAGATTATAATTACTAAGCCACCTTATAAATAGCTGACATTAGTAAACCGTGTACTCTCATAACATCACAGGCGCTAAAAGCTCTGGGCAAGGAGTCAATAATAAGGAATAATAAGGGTGGCCACTTTGGACAGGTAGATAGGTGACCACTAAGACTACAAATGTTAGCTACATGCATCTGACAAAACTCAATGTCTGATGAAGTGGCGATGTTTCCATTTATATCTACCTTGATGCCATATCATTCCAATGTGAGGTTATGAGAGTACACGGTTAATTACTAGGAGCAATTCATAAGCTGGTTTAGGGATTATAATCTAGTACAGTTAGAATTGTGACTATTTCACAATGCGGTACAGTCTAATACCGTCTGGAAGTGGTGAAAAGGGTGCTGGAGTACAATAAAACCAAGGGATATTAGATATTAAGTATATCGGGGCATGTGCAAATTAATGTTACGTACATGTATATAGCCCATTATATCATAAATTAACTGTGCTTAAAACAGTCTTAGATCCCTTTCTATTGTTATATATGACGCTAGCGATTCGTATAATTATAATCAAAACTCTTGACATAATAGTATACTATTGAAGAACTTGTACAGTACATAGAAATCTTTGGTTTTATTGGATAAAAGTAGGTGAGTATTTAATATAGATGTAAATCAGAATGCACTGTGGTTTGATCTCATTTCTGTTTGTAATATTTTGAAATATTCCGAGGGTGTTGTAGCGTCTTGACCTTTGGAATGTTGTGTAGGATTAAGCAATCATACATCCATGGCAATAATATGAACACAAGCTTTATAGAACAGAAGCTCTAAACATTTCAATTAAGGCCCATTCATTGAGATACATATATGGTCCAGGGCATTTACGTGATTTTAAGGATAAATAACACATTTAATCCGACAGCAACAAAAGAAATGAAAGAAATTTGTCTAGCTTCACCACCTTTTCGGTGTTTAATTACTCAATTACAGTGATTATACAACATCTAAAGCGGCGGACAAAATAGAGAACATATGCAAGTGAAGATTTCCATATTCATAAGTATTCATATCATACTATTCATTACTGTACCTTTAAAACAGTGAGATGAAGTTTTTTAGTATTATATTGTACAGTCCAATGTGTGTAGGGATTTCAAATCTAGTTTTTAGTGTGAGAGTTTATCTTTTCTAAATGGTCAGATATTAAGAATTACAATTGAGAAACAAGGTGGAACTGGTTGCATAAATATATTATGGTAACAACATACTTCACTATAATTGTAAAATATCGTACCTAAAACTATACATATTCTGTTTGCACAAACTAAATTACGTTAAATTACTGACAAGCTTATACAATTGCAGCATAATCCTATGTTTTTGATCAAACTATGTGTGATTTATCAGAAATATGAACTAAACCTTCTGATAAGTGACACAATGAAAAAGTAACCATGATAAAGTTCAATCATGTTAGATGCTGTTATGAGTTTTGTCACGCTTAGTGTTTGTACCGCGGTTTATTTGTAAACTTTGTAAACTCGATATGATAAGGATTACAATTAATGTAGATATGTCTTTGACATTACGAGGAAACCTACTAGGGTTTTCGATACCATCAAAGTGTAACTTCTTCCTTTCGTATTTGTATTAAAATCTGAGTTCTTGTTAAAATGGGTTAAAGTTATTACCATTTTCCATAACTGGTAATGCTGATCGACCTATAATGAACGTATTCAGGAAGCAGGTTAATTACCTTCATTTCCCTTTGATATCCCAAATGAATGATCGGAATACGTGTTGTGGCACTGCATAATGTTTGCACAATAATCTAAATCGGTGATAAACGTGGCTATCAAAATTGGCTTAGAATTTTTTTTTTAAAGTTCTTTGAGATCGTGTTTTCCTTAAAATTTACCATTATCATAGTAATTTATCCATACGAAATATTTTGCTATAAATTTCACACTGATCTTGATAATTGAACTATCAATGAAATTTCAATGCTTACAACTTATATATCTAATTCATTCCGTCTTTTTAAGTATTTTAGATAAAGACAATATATTTTGTTACTTCAGGAGGTGAAGGGGACGAATCGTAAATTGTTTTTGCATTAAAGTAAGAACATAAATAATTGTTCTGATTTTCTTTTGTTTGTTTATTTATTGTTGCTTTTTTTGGATTAAAAAAAGAGTATATTTTATCGTCATTTAAATCACAAAAAATAACAACAGAATGATAATATATACATAATTTGTCATAATACTACAAAATATTGAAGTTACATTATAGTGAAATAATTTTGTACATCTCCATAAAAATCAAGCTATTACAAATGCATACAAAACCCTATATACGCTTAGTTACTAATTATCACAGAAATATAATAGAATCATATACAGTTGGAAGTTATTACTTATTGATAACAATGTAATATGTTGTGCAATGAATGAGTAATATTACAAAAAGAGCCTTCCGCACACACACATACACATACACACACACACACGCACACACGCACACAGACAGACACACATACAATGTGACCTATCCACCATCCCTCTAAATACCCAAAACTTTCCAAACTCCACAAATCCCCCCCCCCCTTCCCTTTCCGAACCCGGCAACATCTACACAGTCGTTGGAAATCCTGTGTCTTCCATGTCCCACTGACCAAATTATATAAAAATGTTTGAGTCTGAGATAGAAATATTTGCAATGTTATCGATACAAAAATCATAAAGCAACATAGGAAAAGATAGTAAGATAGACGGACTAAATTTAGTTACAAGCGCATGTTACATGCAGGAAACTTTAAATTTGAAGATGAAACTCGAAATCCATAAATGAATAACACATTTTGGAAGTCAAAACTTCAAGAAGACATTTCAATGTTAATCAGCAGTTGGCCTACACAAACTTTCCCTATCACAGGCACATGGCAAGGGAAGTAGGATGGGGTGTCCAAAGTTATGTTTACACTTTAATCAAATGAATACTATATTCGATCCACAATTTCTCATATTATACACACAATTATTAGGATCAATTAGTAAAAACGAACGTTAAAATATTAAACTACAAATAGGTGCGATTAGAAAATTTACCGTCCAAAGAATTCCTGCGACTTCGCGATCTCAAAATTAGATATCGAATATGAATGCACTACAACTAAAGAAAAGATCATACAAACAAAGATACCTTTAATAATTAGCACACGAGAGTGTACTCAAGTGCTTTGACAAAACAAGCGATAATCAAAGGTAAGGTAATTGCATGAATTGCAAATCAACATATCATGCAATCAGTGGGTATCACTGTTTACTAACAATTTTGATGACATCGTCTCTCAAAATGAAGATTTCCAGACCCTTGTCTGTAAGTTCCCTTTTTTCGGAACGGACACAGAGACTGCAAAATTTGCCAACTTTTCGTCAGTATCTATATTTTTTACACCCAATTTCGTTATAAGGTAAGTACATGTTCTTCATTTCATTGGTGAAATCAGAAGTTTGAGATCTTACCGAATATTTTGAGATATGGAACTGTCCACGAATAAAGTTCACGCGCGAACTATGGTCACACCACAATGCGTTTGCAAGAGAAGGTCGAGTTTTGGGCATGAGAAAAAAAGATGAGAAAAAATTGCAACCTGTTCAGTTTTTCAAAGTTATTTTGGAAGAAAATCTCCGTAGAATTGTACCCCGAGAAGGGTTGCTCTTCAATTCAATGCAATTCTTTGTATTTCAACCATAAAAATACATATACAATAATTAATGGAAATATAAAAACATGGGGTTAGAAGCCCCAAAATAAGTTTAATACAAACTTGTTATTGGGGGCACCATCCATGACATATATATCGAGAAATTAGAAAAATTTACAAAAACAACATTAACGGGAAAACAAATATATTCAAGAAAAAGATTATAAACACCTGTATGTGAGTATACAACATTTACAACAAAGCACCAGCCATGAGCGCACAAAGAACACTGCGTCAAGCGACACCGTGTCCCTATTCGCACCTAACCCTAACCCAAATGCCCTCACATTCGAAATATCACAATAAACAGCTGAAGGGTTTGGACAATTTAACCTGCCATGCCACATATTTGTGTAATCCCATACACACGATTCCTTGACATGGTATTCAGTGCTAGAGGCTTTCAGCACCTCTGTTCGAATTTCTTATCAGTTGTATGATTTCAAAACCTCACAGTTTACACCAATTGTGTGTGTTACCTCGTATAATTATGATCAACCTTTTTAAATCATGCTAATTGCTTCCGGAAAGTTTAATTCACAATGTAATCTTAGGACCAGAACTCAAGCTTCTTCTTAAACGGGTATAACATTGTTCATTTGCCGGTTTGATCTCATGCTCTTCTGGACCTTTGCCCAAAAGACCTCCTGGCCTTCTTCATCCTCTGTCCACAACAAATAAGGCTTGTTCCGACTCAGCAAGAGTCTAACAAGGTACGGTAGATGGTCATCATCGATGTCTTCAAGGAAAATCAGGATGACCTTCTCCAACTTGGTGTCATTCAGTGTGCTCCACTGCCATACGGAGCTTGGTCATGTACCAGGTATCATCTACAGACTGGTTGCTAAGCAACAACATTGTCTTGTGGCTGTTTTCGATGACGTCATAGATGGCGTTCAAGTAGAACAATCCTGGGTGAAGATCGGCATCACCAAATATGACGCGCTCCAGATGAGGCATCCTCTGCTCCAGAAAAGGTTTCATACAGTCATTTACCCACCATTCATCGTCTTCATGGAACATGAGGTTGAGTTGGAATTCAAAGTCCTCCGGATTTCGATCTTCAGTGATCTCATGGTAACCAACGATGGCCAACTTGAGGAGATACAACTTATAGTTTATCCACCAACGGTTGAGATACACGAGAGGGTTAAAACTAAAATCGGCGCAAAACAGGCGGAAACGATAATCATGGTATTGATCCCACAATATTCATCCGGATCGAACGACCAAATTATTTGATTGACCAACACCTTTAAGGAGCTGCTAGAACAACGGGTTTGATTTTTGGGAGCAAGATCTATTTTTCCTTCGACCTCGTTCAACCATTGTCTAAACCAGGCAAGTTGGCAATCGCAGGTCAAGGGATTGCGTGCAATATTGAATCTAATCAAACTTGACGGCATGAAAGTGTTGGAGGCTACGGTCGAAATGTGATTATTTTGTAAGTACAACTGTTCAAGTTCATTTGTGCCCATAAACAGCCCTTGCTGGATGAATTTAATTAAATTATTCTGCAGCTGCAACACCCTTAAATTGTACAAACCTTGAAAAGCGTCCTTGGGAATACTGGTTAAGTCATTGTCTTGCAGACTAAGCTGACGCAGGGTCGTTAAGTTCGCAAATGTTCCTGAGGCAACTTGTTTTATACAACAACTTGTTAAGTCTAGCTCAATAAGATTTGTAAGCGGGGTAAATATGCCAGGAAGAGCGTGCGTGGTATTTAAAGAGTTTTGCCGTAGTTTAAGAATCCGCAAGGAGACCAAGCCTGAGAACAACGATGTCCCTGTCTCTTTATCAACTAAATCCTTAACTTTGAGATTTGACCGCGACATATTGAGAACCCTTAGCGCATGTGCGTTCGTAAACTGGTCACTTGATAAAATTTTCAACGGGCTATATGACATGTCCAGATTAAGTAGATGTTGCATATTTCTGAACGAACCTGTCATGGTAAATTGTTTCGAATTTGACATGTCGAGGAGTTCTAAGGAACTTACTGAAATGAGGGCGTCCTCTGACATCCGAAAAGGATTTGCATTGCCAGAAAAATTAAGTGCTTTCAAATTCGACAACCCAGTGAAGGTTTCATGATAAAGGAAGCCGAAATTGTTTTTTGTAAGAACAAGACTCTGAAGATTAGTTACCTCCCATGGTCTGAACGTGATGATACGGATGCCACTTTGATCTATCACCAGGCTACGAAGAAACAATGATCCGTCAAACCATTGAGGATCCAATGTCACGAGGTTATTACGTGACAAATCAATTTCCTTGAGGTTTGAGGCGCAAGCGAACGAAGCGCGGGGAAGTGACTGTATGCTATTCAAATACAAACTTAGGTTTTCCAGTGCATGTAGGCCACAAAATGATTCATTATTGATGTAAGATATACGATTTCCTCCAAGGCTCAGGACTTGCAGTTTTTCCAGACCACGCAGAGCAAACCCTGGAATATTTTTTAAGATGTTAAAATCTAAAGAAAGTTCTTTAATCAGTGGCTCATTTTCTTTTCGCATCGATGATATGTTCGCTGGATGAATGTACTTAATGCCTGAAGATTCAATCAGAAGTCGCTCGATTTCAATATTGCCCATGAAATACCCGACGTCGAAAGTAGGTAAGCTGATATTGTTCATGTTTAGAGTACCTAATTTGGGCAAATGTCTAAGCGCCTGAGGTTGAAGAAACGTCACATTGTTATTATCTACATTGAACTTATCGACAGAGCAATTTCTCCAAGGTAAAAAGTCATCCTCATTTATAGTTGTAAGTTTGTTGAAGGATAGATCTACTACCGCCATATTCTGCCATTCATACAAGTTTCCACACATTTGAGTACTCACCAATGTGCTGGAGATGTTACTGATCTTGTTGTGCGATAGATTTATTATGTATAGAAGAGCATTCTTCTGAAGATAATAGATGGGTAGAAAGGTAATCAGGTTATGATCTAGTTCCAATACTTGCAACTGTGGTAGAGTTTCGAATGTTCCACTATCAATGAAAGCAATTACGTTGTGACGAGCATACAGTTTTTCAAGTTGGTTGTAATTCATGAACGACGTGTTTAAAAGTTCTGTTACTTGGTTGTCACGGATGAATAATACCAGCAGTTCATGCGGAAGATCTTGGGGAATCGAGGTAAGATTGAGATGAGCACACTTAGCGATGTAACGATCCTTGACTGGGCATGTATAGTTTGGCTGTTGTGAATTGATTGGCATGTCCACTATAACCTTCTGCACGATACCTCCCAAAAAGATTACCATCGAGATCAAGAGTGTTTGCGTCAAGGAATCCATCGTGATTTGAGCCATTATGATCGTTCTCCACAAGTACACTGAGCTTTTTGTTAAAATAAAATCATCGATAACACTGATTTCCCATACTTGATTTCTGGAAGAGAAGGTATACTGCAGGTGCTAGCTTAGGCAACAGTTCCAGCTTTCGTATTCATAAAGCAAATTGTGTTTGTATTAAGAATGAACACCTTTGTTGGCTTAAAGGCTGCATATATGATTTCAGGCAAAATGGGCGTAAAATTTTGCTTCCAATAAACAACGCAGTTTCTTAAGTACCGTCTGAGGGCTTCTTATGTTTTGTTTGATTTATGTACTAGACTATTTCCTGCATGACCTTCCCGTAAGTTGATACTTGTAAGTTAACACACTCCGTGATTTGGTAAGAGCACTTTATCTCATTTAGACCAGGAAATAACTTGTGTCTTATCTCTCTCTCTCTCTCTCCCTTCCCTCCCCATCTTGCCCCTCCGTCCACCCCCTCTCTCTCTCTCTCTTTATTTATCTCTTTCTCTCTCTCTCTTGCATTCATTATTATTTTTCTCTTTCTTGTTCTATTTATCCCTTCAATTATTTTCTACGTTATATCTTCTTCTTTATATTTTGTGGTCAAGTTGGTTGAATAATCGACTGAAATTGGACAAATGGTGCGAGTGGTGGAGATTTAAAAATTTAATCTACCAGATTCTGGAATAGGTGTGCGCACGCATGTGCCTGTGTGCGTGTGATGATGTGTGCGTTCTGACATATTTAGATACTGATCACCTCATGATTTAGTCAGAATCTTCAATCTTTATTCTTTATTTCTGTACGTTTTTTGTCTTCAGATTTGTTATTTTAAGAAAAGAGATCCAATCACAATCAATTTGTATTCTGACATATTTAGGTATTGATCACCTTATGATTTCGTCATAATCTTCATTCTTTGTTCTTTATTGCTTTCTAATCGATTTTGTTTGCAGCAATTTCAGGCCAACAATTTGAGAAAATTGTACAGGACAGCAAAATGGATAATCTTCAAAAAGCTGCCTTCACGGTTATTTGTGAGTTCTGAATTTACTCGTCGTCTTCTTCTGCTTCTTTTTTTTTTCTTCTTCTTCTTCTTCTGCTTCTTCTTCTTTTTTATTTTTCTTCTTCTTCTTCTTCTTCTTTTTTTCTTCTTTTTTTTTCTTCTTCTTCTTCTTCTTCTTCTTCTCCTTATTCTTCGTGTCTTTCCTTTTTCCTTTCTCTCTCTTTGTATCTTCTTTCTTTCTTTTTTTATTTTTTTTTATTCCGTTATCCCTTTATGAAAATCGCAAAAGTCAATTGTTTATTTAAAGTTGTGATGTTAATTAATCCTTATCTCATGAAAATTGGTATCAAAATGTAAATAATAATTATTTCTTTCATATTATGACCTCAAACTCATGGTGGTTTAAGAATTTCTATATTTCTAAAGTATTCTGACAAATTATTCCATAAAACAGTGTCCGCATATGAATAATTAATATGACAATACCCTATAAGATTTTGTCACAGTTTAAGGGACACAAAGTAAAGACATTTTACTGTAATGTACCGTGTCCGTGACTGAGCTGATCTCATCCCATATGATCATATTTACAGTCAAGAGCATGTGTCAACCTCTTGCGTTCTACGTTGACTCGCTGTACTGGGCCACGAAGGGACTAGCTACCGACGATGAGAAACTCATTCGCATCGTCGTAGGCAGATCAGAGTTATAAAGTTGGTCATACGGGAGGGATGAATATTTAAATCAGAAAATAGTTAACATTCTGTCACTCCCCTCTCTGTATATATATATATCTCTCTCTCTCTATCTCTCTCTCCCTCCCCCTCTCCCTCCCTATGTCTCTGTGTCTTTCTCTCCTTCTCTCTCTCTCTCTCTCTTGCATTTTTTTCCCCCTCTCTTTCTTGTTCTTTTTTTAAAGTCAATCCTCTGTTTCTTTGTAATTTCTTCGTCATGTTTCGTGGTCAAGTTGTTTGAATATTCGACTGCAAAAATGTGGAAGTCGTAGGTTGGACCCCGTATAGGGCTTGCAATTACAAAATCACAACATCTCATTTTCCCTACGTTGCTTCTCTTCATCTCGGTCTATAAAGAGGGTATTCGCGATTCATTTTTTTGTGAGGAGGGGGGGGGGGGGGGGGTTGGAGGGACATAATAAAAAGGCCCCAATGGCGGTAACAATATACGACCACTACGCCATCTACGAGGGAGGCTAGTGACTGAGCGAAGAGGTTCATTTTTGAGGTTTCACCATCTTCAAATTAAATTAGCCCTAAATGTATTTCTTTAATATGGTCTAAATATAATTTATTGGAGCGTGGGACATCGTACAATTGTTTCCTTCCCACCCTTGGTTACATCTCAATTGTTGTTACTTTTTTAATAATTTATATACAGCCTTTTAGTACGTAACGTATAGTGAGCCGTATCGCTCTTGGAAGTGTAAAATGGCCGCAGCGCGTGCGAGCCCACTTCAAGCGCTATCACGGGCGGGAGTGGGCGATGATCCGTCCAGGAGGTAGAGGTCAGTGGTTTGTGCTGGCAATGTTCCAGCGAGCGAAAATGAGACAACCGAAGCAATGTGTTTCACCTTATTTCAACCCACTGCCTACTGGAACCGAGTGGTCCATGTATTAAGCCTATAGTGGTGAGAGAATTCGGTGATAATCGGTCAATAAGAAACTTGATCAGTGACCACCTCGCTTATGATATAGGACATTTTATTTTTTTCCCTTGAATATATTTTGTTTCCCTTTTGAATATATCTTTGGCGTTCTCTCTCTCTCTGACCTAGATCGACCTGGCTTCCATCAAGAAAATGTTCAAAGAGAAATACACCACAACCACCCTGGCCGCCATGGTCGAAGACGATACCAGTGGAGACTACAAGAATGTTCTCATTGGTATCATCAACGCAGATGCTGCACCTACCCCAGCCCCCACCACCACCTAAAGACCGGCTGGAGTCATTCCATTCACCAAGTTAACACAGTATTATAGCTGTACCGTATTATAAAGAAGAAGAACGAATTCTTAACGTTACCAAGATCATAATTACTAAGCCACCTTATGAATAGCCCAGACTAGTAACTTTTGTACTCTCATAACATCACAGGCGCTACAAGCTCTAGGGAAGGAGCCAATAATAAAGGTGGCCACTTTAGACAGGTAGATAAATGACCACTATTGTAGGTACATGCATATGACAACACTCACTGCCTGATGAAGTGGCGGTGTTTCCGTTTACATCTACCTTGATGCCATATCATTCCCATGTGAGGGTTTGGGAGTACATGGTTTACTACTGTGAGCTTTTCATAAGCTGGCTCGGGGTTTATAATCTAGGTACGGATATGACTTGTTTATAATACCGTACAGTATAATATCGTCTGAGATTTGTGAAGCGGGTGCTGGAGTACAATCGCATCAAGCGATATTATATATCTATATTGGGCATGTGCAAACAAATGTTACGTATATAGCTTATCAGATATGATGGTTAAACATCATAAAATCCGTTTCTTTTACTATACATATATATATATATATATATATATATATATATATATATAAGTACTACTACTATACAAACCCTAGCAATTCGTATTATTATAATCATACACAGCATATATGTGTACAAAACTATAAAAAAAAAAAATAGTACATATTGAAGAACTTGCACAGTACATAGAAATCTTTGGTTTTAATGGATAAAAGTAGATGAGTATTTAATATAGATGTAAATTAGAATGCACTGTGGTTTGATCTCATTCCTGTTTGTAATATTTTGAAATATTCTGAGGGTGTTGTAGAGTATTGACCTTTGGAATGTTGTGTAGGATTAGGCAATCACACATCCATGACAATAATATGAACACAAGCTTCATAGAACAGAACTTCTACAACTTTCAATTAAGACCCATTTATTGAGATATATGTATGGTCCAGGGCATCTACGTGATTTCAAGGATAAATAATATAGTACACATTCAATCCGTCAACAACAAAAGAAAATTAAAGAAATTTGTCTAGCTTTACCACCTTTTCGGTGTTTAATTACTCAATTAGAGTGGTGATACAACATCTAAAGTGACGGACAAAATAGAGAACATATGCAAGTGAAGATTAGCATATTCATGAGTTTTCATATCATAATATTCATTACTATACATTTGAAATAGAGAGATGAAGTTTTTTAGTATTATATTGTACAGTACAATGTGTGCAGGGATTTCAAATCTAGTTTCTGTGAGAATTTATCTAATCTAATGGTCAGATATTAAGATTTACATTCTAGAAACAGCATTATTATATTATGGTAACAACATTCTTCATTATAATGGTAAAATATCGTAAACTACATTAGAATACTTAGAACTACACTTTTTTGGTTGCTCAAACAGAAAACAAAAAACGTGAAATTACTGACAAGCTCAAACATTTGCAGCATAATCCTATGGTTTGTATTAAACTACGAGTGATTTATCAGAAATAAAAACCTTCTGATAAGTGACACAATGACAAAGTAACCATGGTAACATTCAATCATTGTAGATGCTGTTATGAGTTTTGTCACGCTTAACGTTTGTACCGCGGTTCATTTGTAAACTTAATGGCAATACTGCACGTTTCGATATGACTTGTTATTCGGATTACAATTAATGAAGAGATGTTTTAAACATTACAAGGAAACCTCCTAGAGTTTTCGATACCATAACAGTGTAACTTATTCCTTTCGTATTTGAATTAAAATCTCAGTTCTTGATTAAATTGGTTGAAGTTATTACCATTTTCTATAACTGGTAATGCTGATCACCCTATTATGAACGTATTCTGGGAGCAGGTTGATTACCTTGAGTATCATTTGATATCCCATAGAAATGATCGGATTAGGTGTTGCGGCACTGTATAATGTTTGCACATTCATTTAAATCGGTAATAAACATGGCTATTAAAATTGACTTAGTTTGATTTCTGTTCTCGAAAGTTCTTTGAGATGGTGTTTTCCTTGAACTTTACCATTGTCATAGTAATTTATCCATACGAAATGTTTTGCTATAAATTTCACACTGATCTTGACAATTGTACTATCAATGAAATCATTATTTCAATGCTTACACCTTATATATCTAATTCATTCAGTCTTTTTAAGTATTTTAGATAAAGACAATATATTTAGTTACTTCAGGAGGTGAAGGGGACGAATCGTAAATTGTCATTGCATTAAAGTAAGAACATAAATCATTTTTCTGATTTCTTTTTGTTTGTTTGCTTTTTGTTGCTTTTTAAAATTATTTTATTTACTTTTTTTCACTGTTCATTCAATTCACACAAAATAACAACAGAATGATAATATATACATAATTTGTCATAATACTACAAGATATTTAAGTTATATGTACATTACTTTAGCATAAATGAAATATACGATTACAAAATCGCACATTCCCATTTTTACATCTCCATATCATATTATTACAAAAAACACGCTTAGTTCCTAATTAGTACAGATATATAATAGCCAGTGGCGTACCTGGGGTACTCCGTCAGGGGGGGGGGGGGCAAGCGACCGAAACAAACAAAAAAGGCGATGCTAATTTTCAATTCCGGCGAGCGAGCGAGCAATAAAAAAATCTTTAAGTAACGTTTGGTATATAAACTGGTATTGTTGCAAGTTGGGGGTGGGAACATTCACTTGTTAGCGACGTTAAAATCATTTTTTTGCAAACGAGTGTAGCGAGCAAAAAAAAAAATCACTTCTTTTTTAAGAATTGCCACTTAAACTTGGTTCAATTTTCCCATGCAGGGCGCGGGAACAATATTGTGTTTAGGGTGATTTTATACCCATTTTAGCTAGCGAGCGAAAATACATCTTTCTCTCAATGAATTGCTACATAAAATTTGTTTCATTGTTGCAGGTAGGGGGCGGGCACAATCGTGTTTAAGGCAATGTCAATCCCATTTTGGCGGGCAGGCAACCCCCTACATTTCTCTTTTTAATGATATTGTAGCAGGTAAGTGGTGGGCACATAATTCCACGAGCTAGCGAGCGTAGCGAGCGAAAAAAAATCACTTCCTTTTATAGGGAAAATATGGTACATAAAACTTGGGTTCATTGTTCCATGTCAGGGACGTGATTATTAAAAGCGGTGTTATTTCTATTTTGGCGAGCGAGCGTAGCGAGCGAGCAAAAAAAATCACTTCTCTTTTATAGGGAAAATATGGTATATAAACTTGGGTTCATTGTTCCATGTCAGGGACGTGATTATTAAAAGCTGTGTTATTTCTATTTTGGCGAGCGAGCGTAGCGAGCGAGCAAAATTTTTGTAATGATAATTGGTTCATAAATTTCAGATTTTTTTGTTGCAGGGCAGGGCTTACACAATCATGTCTAAGGTGATGTTAATTCCGTTTTGGCGAGCACGAGCACACCAAAACTTCTTTGAATAACGTTTGGAACATAATTATTAACTGGTTGTTGCAGGTTGGGGCGGGCACGTTTGCGGTGTCAATTCCATTTTGGCGAGCGAGCATAGCGAGCAAGCAAAAAAATAGAAATTAATAAATAAACTTGTTTTTATTGGTGCAGGTCAGGATGGACGCAATCGCGCGATTCAATTCCTCTTTGGCGAGAGGGCGAAAAAACTCTTCCATTTTTAATGATATTGTTGCAGGTCAAGGGTGGGCACAATTGTTTCCAAAGCAATGTCTTCATTTTATTCGCGAGCGAGTGTAGCGAGCGAGAAAAATGAATTAGTCTCTTTTAGTAACATTTGGTACATATCTTGTGTGTTATTGTTGCCATGGTTGCAGGTCGGGGCCCGTCGGGGCAGGCACAATTGCACTCTAGGCAATACTAATCCTTTTCTTTTTTCAGGGGGACGAGCAAGTGAAAACATTTAATACAAAATAGGCTAGCAAGCAGTTCGCGCCAGCGAAGAGTTTCGAATTTGTTATATCACTTATATGTTCCTATTTTAATTTTTTCAGGGCCGTATGCGGAATATTTTTCTGGTGGGGGAGGGGGAAAGATGCGTTAAAAGTTTTCGAAGAATCTCAAAAGCAAAAGGAGTGAAGGGAGTTCGAGCGACCGAACTGGTCATGAGGGTACTTTTGCATTTTCAAAAGTAGAATTGAAGGATTTGGTATAGGCCTACACTACATTTTCAGGAAAAAACTGTACGTTTTCAAAATATCTGGGGTCAACTGCCCCTCCCCCCTGGTGCGTATGGCCATGGTCTTTTTAAAAAAAATTCCCCCATTTTTATTCCTTTCCTTTTCTTTTCCCTTTTTCTTCCTTTTCTCTTCTTCTTCCTTTTTTCTGTCCTTTTTTTCCATTTTTCTCTTTCTTTCCCTTTTTTTCCCTTTTCCTTTTTTCTTCCATTTTCCTTTTTTCTTTTTCTTTCCTTTCCTTTCTTTTCTTTTCTTTCCCCTTTTTCTTTTTTTCCCCTGGAGCCCGTCAGGGGGGGGGGCACTCTGCCCCCCCCTGCCCCCCCCCCCCATAGGTACGCCAGTGATAATAGCATCATATACAGTTGGAAGTTATTACTCATTTATAACAATATAATATGTTGTGCAATGAATGAATAATATTTCAAAAAAGAGCATCCCCACATACACACGCACACACACCACACACACACACACACACACACACACGCACTCAAACGGACAGACACACATACAATGTTACCCATTCACCCAGGGTGCTACAAGAATTTTTTTCACCACTTGCCCTGTCGGGCAAGTGGGTTTTCAATTTACTTGCCCAAACAATATTTCCACTTGCCCAAAACTTTAAAGCGAAAAAGGACTCGAGGTTAAAGCATTTATTATCTCGTAATGATAAGTTAGTGTTTTAGATAGCAAATTAATGCACATACATGTACAGTGTAACTGTACTGAATAATAACCTAATATGTCAAAGAAAATGGTCAACAAAGGATGGTTGAAGGTTTAAAAAACGCATTTTATTGATTCTCCATAAATAATCAGATTCACATGAATCTCGGCAAGGTAGAATGGTTCAAGCAGGTTTAAGTTTTTAATATTCAGTCATGTAAAAAAGCATAATGACCCTGTTGTAAAAAAATATGATACAAACATGTCATTAATGGTAGCCACATGTACCATGGTGCAACATCACATGTGTGTCTGTGCAAGCCGCTGTCATTTGGAAACGTAGGCTAATTTTCAGCTGTTAATAATTTGGGTCAACTCTTCCATCAAGAAACGTCATGTAAATAATGGGTAATCAACTATTTTAAATAAAGTACGGACATTTTTATTTCATCATTCACTGCTATAAATATCATGCCAAAATTTGTAAATTCTTACTAAATAATAATATTGAAGATATTTTACGATAAATCTCGGATAAGTATGCGAAAACTAGACTAAACAACGTCGCTAAAACCATGAAAACAAAACAACAACGGCTTATATTCTGGGGGTCTCGATACTATTATCATAATGACTCGCTCGGTCGGATCTTGAGACCGCAGTAATAAATTGAAAACGAGACAAAAACATTCATCTGATTTATATGAGCAGCGAGTTTTAAATAATATGTTCACAAATCACAATCATTAACAGTCATTATGAATAAATATCAAACATTTGACTTTTTGTACTTACTAGAAAATCCCTGTTGTTTATTCCATTCCGATTCGCACGTGTTCATTTCCCTAGAATAATGACGTCATATTTGGCGTGATTCAACCAATCGGCAATCAGAGAATAGCAAAGGCCTGTCGGTGCGGCCTGCAGAGCTAGAGAGAGAGAGCGCGAATAAGCTCGCAGCTGGTACGATCGCGCTAGCTGTCTCTAGCTAGCTCACGGCCGGCCGTGCGTGGAGGCGGAGCGGCATTCATGGCTTGAAGTGTCACTGTTGCATGCGCGCTGAGCTAGCTGAGCTGGCTAGCTGTCTGTGAAGTTTTTTCGAAATCGGAACGATCGCTTTTTTGCTTCTGGATTTTGACGACGGGTAAGAAGTTGACGGGTGAATGGTAGAGTTCTTGGACACTAGGAAATTACTGTAAAAGTATCACTTGCCCGAATCGGGCAAGTGATAATTTGATTTACTTGCCCGACGGCTCAATTTGGTTGCCCCGGGACGTCGGGCAAGCGGGTTTGTCGCGCCCTGTTCACCCTCCCTCTACATAACAAAAACTTCCCAAACTCCACAATCCCCTCTCCCTTTCCGAACCCAGCCTCATCTACATAACCGTTGGAAATCCAGTCTCTTCCATGTCCCACTGTCCAAATTATATAAAATGTTTGAGTCTGAGATAGAAATATTTGCAATGTTACCGATACAAAAATGATAAAGCAACATAGGAAAAGATAGTTAGATAGACGGACTAAATTTAGTTACAAGCGCATATTACATGCAGGAAACTGTTAAATTAGAAGATGAAACTCGAAATTCATAAATGAATAACACCTTTTGGAAGTCAAAACTTCAAGAATACATTTAAATGTTAATCAGCAGTTGGCCTACACAAACTTTCCCTTTCACAGGCACATGGCAAGGGAAGTAGGATGCAGGGTGTCCAAAGTTAGTTTACATTTTAATCAAACGAATACTATATTCGATCCACAATTTCTCATTTCATACACAAATTTATTAAGATCAATTAGTACAAATGAACTTTCAAATATTAAACTACAATTAGGTGCAATTGGAAAATGTATCGTCCAAAGAATTTCGCGATCTAAAAATTAGATGTCGGATATAAATGCGCTACAACTAAAGAAAATATCATAAAACAACGGTACCTTAATTAGCACACAAGAGTGTACTCAAGTGATTTATCAAAACATGTGATTCATCAAAGGTGAGGTAATTGCGTAAATTGCAAGTCAATATATCATACAATCATTTATATAATAATAATCTAATAGTCCACTCCAAATTTTATTAAACCGAAACGGAAATTCTTTTTGCCCAATTGATCGTGAGCCCGGCAGCCACTGAGCAGCGCCAGATCGACGTTGGTCTATCCCTTATTGTTGAACGCCAAACAAGGTAGCAACAACTCCCATCTTTTAACATCTTTTAACGTCGTTAGTATCACTTTATACTAACAATTTGATGACATCGTCTCTTAAAATGAAGATTTCCAGACCTTTGTCTGTAAAGTTTGGATGCATAAGACTGCAAAAGATTTGCCGATCTTTTGGCAATATTTTCATAATTTGACACCCATTTTTTTCTCACTAGGTACATTGTAGGTTCATGTTCCTCTTTCCATTGGTGATATCAGAATTTCGAAATTTTACCGATTTTTGTATAGATATAGAACTGTCCGCGAATGAAGGTCACGTGCGAACTATGGTCGAACCACTATACGTTTACAAGAGAAGGTTGAGTTTTGGCAAAGATGAGAAAAACTTTAAAGCTCCCCCGTTTTTTAAAGGTACGATGTCCCTTTTGCAGCCAACCTCCAATTATGTAGAACTTTGCAGGAATTATGAATATGTCATGTATGTCCTATCTGTGAAATTTAAACGTTAGAAGTGTCCTAATATTCAAATTATGCAAAGAAACTTGTTTACTTGCTAGATTTCACTGTCAGACACTATTGATTTTTTTTTTCTTCTTTGGTAATAACATAAATAAAATAAGCTGTAAAGGGTACATGGGCATTTGCCTACATTAAAAACCCACTTCTTGTGATGGCCAAAATTAAACTAATTGAATCTTTGCGCAGCATAAAACGTATGACCATTCGGTATGATGGTCTGAAAATCAAGACTATTACTTATTGACTCTATAGCTCCTAAGTCGATTTGACAACTAATAGTCGTTATTTTCCCACTTGAAGTCATTTTCAAGCCCCACCTTTTTTAGGGAAGTTCTAAATTAGTATTATCTTTCAAATGCCATTGTAATTTAACCTTTTCATTTATTTTGGCCTGCAAATGGGACATAGTACCTTTAAATTCATTTTTGGAAGAATATCATTGTTAGAATTATCCTCCGAAAAGAGATGCTCTTCAAATGCCTTCCCATTCGAAACATCACATTAAATAGCTGAAATGCTGGGGCAACTTAACAGGCCATGCCACATAATTTCGTAGACCCACACACACATTTCTGGGTACATGGTATTCAGTGCTACAGACTTTAAGCACAAATTATGTGTGCTACCTCGAATTTGATCACCGTTTTCTAATCATGTTTGCTCCCGGACAGTTTAATTCACAACGTAATCTTAGGACCAGAACTCAACCTTCTTCTTAAACGGGTATAACATTGTTCATTTGCCGGTTTGATCTCATGCTCTTCTGGATCTTTGCCCAGAAGACCTCCTGACCTTCTTCATCCTCTGTCAACAGCAAATAAGGCTCGTTTCGACTCAGCAAGAGCCTAACAAGGTACGGTAGATGGTCATCATCGATGTCTTCAAGGAAAATCAAGATGACCTTCTCCAACTTGGTGTCATTCATGTGTTCCACTGCCATACGGAGCTTGGTCATGTACCAGGTATCATCTACAGACCGGTTGCTAAGCAACAACATTGTCTTGTGGCTGTTTTCGATGACGTCATAGATGGCATTCAAGTAGAACGATCCTGGGTGAAGATCGGCATCACCAAATATGACGCGCCCCAGATGAGGCATCCTCTGCTCCAGAAAAGGTTTCATGCAGTCATTTACCCACCATTCATCGCCGTCATGGAACATGAGGTTGAGTTGGAATTCATAGTCCTCCGCAGTTCGATCTTCAGTGATCTCATGGTAACCAACGATGGCTAACTTGAGGAGATACAACTTATAGTTTATCCACCAACGGTTCAGATACATGAGTATACCGAGGGTTAAAACTAAAATCGGCGCAAAACATGCGGAAACGATCATCATGGCATTGATCCTACAATATTCATTCGGATGGAACGACCAAATTATTTGATTGACCAACGGTTTTAAGGAACTGCTAGAGCAACGGGTTTCATTTTCTGGAGCGAAATTTATTTTTCCGTCAACCTCGTTCAACCATTGTCTGAACCAGGTGAGTTCGCAATCGCATGATAAGGGATTGTTTGCAATATTTAATCTAGTCAAACTTGACGGCATTACAGTGTTGGAGGCTACGGTCGAAATGTGATTGTTCTGTAAGTACAACTGTACAAGTTCATTTGTGCCCATGAATAGCTCTTGGTCGATGAATTCAATTGAATTATACTGCAGCTGCAACACCTGTAAATTTGGCAATCCATGAAAAGCGTCCTTGGAAATGCTGGTTAATTGATTTTGAGGCAGACGAAGCCGTAGAAGGGTCGTTAAGTTTGCAAATGTTCCTGATGCAACTTGTCCTATACGACAACTTGTTAAGTCTAGCTCAACAAGACTTCCAAGCGGGGTGAATATGCCAGTAAGAGCGTGCAGGGTATCTAAAGAGTTTTCCCGTAGTTTAAGGATCTTCAAGGAGACCAAACCTGAAAACAAGTATGTCCCTGACTGTTTATCAACTAAATCCTCAGCTTTGAGATGTGATCCCGGCATATTGAGAACCCTTAGCGCAGATGTGTTCGTGAACTGGTCAATTGATGACATTTTCAACTTGCTATATGACATATCCAGAAAGAGTAGTTGTTGAATATTTCTAAACGAACCTTTCATAGTAAATTGTCTCAAATCCGTCATGACGAGGGATTCTAAGGAACCAACTGATGTGAGGGCGGCCTTTGACATTTGAAAAAGATTGAAATTGCCAGAAACATCAAGTGTTTTCAAATTTGCCAAGCCATTGAAGGTGTTATGAGAAAGAGAATGGAGATCGTTGTTTTTAAGAACAAGAGTCTGAAGATTAGTTGTCTTCCATGGTCCGACCGTGATGCGACGGATGGCACTTTGATCTATCACCAGGCTACGGAGATACAAGGATCCGTCAAACCATCGTGGATCCAATGTCGCGAGGTTATTATGTGACAAATCGATGTTCGTGAGATTCGAGGCGCAAGCGAACGAGGCACGGGGAAGTGAATTTATTTTATTATAAAACAAACTGAGGTCTACCAGTGCATGTAAGCCACAAAATGATTCATTATTGATGCTCGATATACGATTCCCTTGAAGGTTTAGGACTTGCAGTTTTTCAAAACCACGAAGAGCATACCTAGGAATGTTACTTAAGATGTTAAAATTTAATGTAAGTTCTTTAATCAGTGGCACATTTCCTTTTTGTACCAACGTTGTGTTCACTGGATGAATGTACTTTATGCCTGAAGAATCCATCAGAAGTCTATCGATTTCAACGTGGCCCATGAAATACCCGACGTCGAAGGTAGCTAACTTGATATTGTTCATGTTCAGAGTACCTATTACTGTGGGCAGATTTCCAAACGCCTTAGGTTCAAGAAACGTCACACTGTTATCATTTACATTGAACTTACGTACAGAGCAATTTCTCCAGGGTAAAAAGTCGCCCTCCTTTATAGATGTAAGTTTGTTGAAGGATAGATTAACTTCTGACATATTCCGCCATCCATTACATTGTCCACACTTCTGAGTACTGTCCAATGTAGAAGAGATGTTACTTATCTTGTTGTGTGATAGACTTATTATATATAAAAGAGCATTCTTCCGAAGAAAATACATAGGCGGAACAATAATCAGGTTATAATCTAGTCTCACGACCTGCAATTGTGGTCGAGTTTCAAATGTTCCACTATCAATGAAGGCAATTACGTTGTGACCAGCATACAAGTCTTCAAGTTGGTTGTTATTCATGAACGACGTGTTTAAAAGTTTTGTTAATTGGTTGTCACGGATGGATAATACCAGCAGTTCATGCGGAAGGTCTTGGGGAACTGAGGTTAGATTGAGATGAGCGCACCGAGCGTTGCGACGAACCTGGACATGACATGTATAGTTTGGCTGTTGTGAATTGATTGGCATGTCCACTCTAACCTTCTGTACGATACCTCCCAACAAGATTCCCATGCTTTGTTTCTGGAATAGAAGACACTGAAGGTACTAGTTTTGGCGACATCCTCGCAGGCACGTATGAGTCATATCGGAACTAACGAGTCAGCAAGTACAATACTGTATATACTAGCAGGACCCGCGGAAATCCGCGGGATCCTAGAGGGGGGCGGGGGGTGTAAATAGATATATAGAGACTGTCTAAATTAAAACCACCATGAACTTTATTTGCCATTCAGGCCATTAAGAAATATACATGTTAAGCGTCCCCGCCCGCTTCCTTTTTGGGGGCCGCCTCCTATTTTTTTTTTTGAAATTTTTTATAAAGTTTTTTTTTTTTTTTTTTTTTTTTTTTTTTTTTTGAAAGAAAAAAAAAACAGCGTCCCCGCCTGCTTCCTTTTTGGGGGCCGCCTCCTATTTTATTTTTTTTGAAAGAAAAAAAATATGAAAAGCACTGCTAAAATGTATTTCTGATTTTAAAAAAGAAAAAAAAAATTGTCGGCCGCCATCTTGAAAAATAGCCTGAATGTCAGGAAAAATGTACGGAGCGGCCATTTGAAAGAAAATAAAAAGAAAAAAAAAGGGCCTCCTCCTTCCCATTTTTCGAAAAAACAGGAAGCTAAACATGTTTTTTTTTTTAATTTGGCCTTATATAAAAATAAAAAAAACGATCCAACTGTACCGGTAGTTATTCTTTAAGCCACTGGAACTGCGTAGAGTTCCGTAGTGTGGCGTACCGACTACGCAGAAATTAGGCTGCGTATTAATGGGGAAATAGTCCCTGCGTAGGTTATGCGTAGGCTGGCGAAAAAAATTTAACAGGTTGAACTGTTTTCGTTCATCTTGCGTACCCCTTTCCGTCCCTCAGCATATAGTAACGTAGGCCAGCGTAGTTGTTACGCAACACTACGCAACTCTACGTATTGACCCCACGCCAATTAGTGACCCGCAAGTGTCACAAATAAAGTATTAAAAATATGCTCATCTGACCCTATACGCCTAAAACCCCCGAGCTTTCGGGGGTTTATGGCCCCTTGAAACCCGTGGACCCCACGCCTATATCAATCCGCGGGATTGTAGAGGGGGTGCGCAGGCAAAAAATTAAGTTTTTCATTTCGGGGGCTCTTATTTGCCATTCAGGCCATTAAAAAAATATACTTGTTTATCAACTTTCGGGGGCTCTTTTTTCTGGGGCTACCTTTTCATTAATTCATAAAAAGATAGGCCTACACTTTGTTGAAATTTGTTTAGTAGGCCAAGGTTTCAGGCTTCCTACTTCATAATTGCCTATTTAAAAAAAAAAAACATTTTTCTAGTTCAATAACTAAGTTTTCATGCATTGATTTGATGCAAGAACTGTAACATAATAGACCCTAGATTGTGATTATTTCTGACCATGAATTTCGATAATCATTTTTCAAAGTAAATTTTCACAAGATTTGATGCAAGAACTGTAACATAATAGACCCTAGATTGTGATTATTTCTGACCATGAATTTCGATAATCATTTTTCAAAGTAAATTTTCACAAGAAAATCAGACAGTCGTTTAAAAACGTAGACATTAGTAATACTTTTACTAATTCTAAGCTCAGGTTTCGTAAATCTATTCACGAAACTATATTGAAATCGCGGCAATAATGATGCAAACCAACAGATAACAATTTCAAAGTGTCAAATCTCTTCGACTCAGCTCAGGTGAACTCACACACACTACAGCGTAACTCCAGAGCTCGAACACCGGCGCCGCAGGCGTCGGACGCCTACGGTGCGCGGTGCCGGTTAGGAGCTTCCTGCAAGCTCATTTCAACTCACACACCGCACACAGCAGCATTGCACTGTGTGTTGACTGAAGGCAGCTTGCGACTGAATTGTCAGTCCAATGGTTTTCTTGTGAAAACTTTCCTTTAGAAAATGATAATCAAAATTTAGTTAGCATGGCCGTAATAATCACAAAATAAGCTTTTATTTCATACCTCCATTCACGAAAACTATACACAAATCGCGGCATTCATGACGGAAATGGGTCTCTAAGTTTGGACGTCGACGGGAAGCCCCGCGTATCCCCCTGGCTTGTGCAGCGCTACTATACAAAGGATATCCTATAGAAAGATGCTTTACTCGGGTAATCCCGACCCTGTCCATCGTGCATTTAATACGCAACTTAATGTGAGTGGATGGTCATCGGTCGTGTGTCTACGGATGCAATGTTGAATATCCATGAGGTATCTCTGTCGTCACGCATATCCTGCATTATGCATGTCGCGTCTGTTTTCGCCCTGGACGTCGACACGGAGGAGGACCTCGGGCGGAGTATAGCCAATTCCACAGAGTAGGCTCTCCCGCGGACGATGGCACCGGGCACGGGTACCCCGAGGGGAGGGTTCAGGAGGAGATAGCCGCACCAACTTGGGTCGGCGATCTCATTAAAAAACAATAGAATACAAAGGTTCGCCGAGACGTCGCGCCCCCCGCGGAGCCTTAGCGTATTACTTATATAGATGTATCAAAGTCAATCAAATATACCACAAGCAGTTCAACGTCACATTGTTATTATTTACGTAGAACTTATCGACAGAGCAATTTCTCCAAGGTACAAGGTCCTCCTCATTTATAGAAGTAAGATTGTTGAAGGATAGATTAACTTCCGACATATTCCGCCATCCATAACAGTTTCCACTCTTCTGAGTACTCACCGAAGTGCCGGAGATGGTACTGATCTTGTTGTGTGATAGACTTATTATGTATAGAAGAGCATTCTTCTAAAGAAAATAGATAGGTAGAAAAGTAATCAGGATATGATTTAGTTCCAAGACCTGCAATTGTGGTAGAGGTTTGAACGTTCCCCTATCAATGAAAGCAATGATGTTATGAACAGCATTCAATCTTTCAAGTTGGGTGTAATTCATAAAAGACCTGTTTCCAAGTTCGGTTAATTGGTTATGATGGATGGATAAGACGAGCAGGCCATGCGGAAGGTCTTGGGGAATCGAGGTAAGATTGAGATGAGCGCACCTAGCGATGCAACGATCTTGGACTGTGCATGTATAGTTTGGCTGTTGTGAACTTATTGGCATGTCCACTTTAACCTTCTGCACGATACTTCCCAAAAATATTACTATCAAGATCACGAGTGTTCGCATCAAGGAATCCATCGTGAGACGAGCCATTTTGATCGTTCTCCACAAGTACACTGAGCTGTTTGTTAAAATCAAATTAGCGATGACACTGATTTTCAATGCTTCGTTTCCGAAATAGAAGGTACTACAGCTGGCAATATCCTCGCAGGCGCGGAAATCATATCGGAAAAAATGATTTAGCAAGTAAAATACTGTATATATGTACATCAAAATCAATCAAATACACGACAAGTTCAATTCCAGCTTTCGTATTCATGAAGCAAGTAGGATTTTTATAACGCTATTGGCTTAAAGGCAGTATATATGGTTTCAGGGGAAATGGGCTTCAGATTATTGTTACAAATAAACGATGCATTTTCTCAAGAACCCTCTGTAGGCTTCTTATGACTTTATTGCACAGTCTTATTTAGACCAGGATATAGCTTGTTTCACACACTTGAATTTAATTGATTAGTATAATAAGCTAGTCATTCGTCGGTTTGCAATCGATATGTGATATGGGAATAATTATTACCATTAATCAAGTGAAGTCCTTGAATTTTCTTATTATGTTCTCCTTTTCTTTGTATGATTTCTTTTCTTAATTTCTTTGTTCCTTTATTGCTGAAGTATCAATAAAGTGATGTATGGTAGAAAGTGTATTCATTCACAACACTTGTTGAAATATTCAAGAGGCATGGATTGAAATTCGCAAGCACTTTTTAAGACCTGATGAGAATAAATCGAAAGTGCTTGTGAAGTTTAATCCATGCCTTTTGTGTATACATGTATAATCCATCAAGCGCTGTGAATTGAATTGTTTTTACTATTTTCACTCTGCATCTCGTTGGACAGCTCTTTTAAGCATTTCCAACATACACACACACACACACACACACACACACACACACACACAAGCGCGCGCACACACACGCACACGCATACACACACATATATTCACATTATTAAGAAAAATGGTGGGGGGGGGGGGCGGGGAATGAGCAATAATTTCTTGTTTTCCCGAAATTTGAAAATCGCGCCAATCGTTATTTCGCTCAGTGAGGAGGAGGTGGGTGGGGGGGGGGGGGGGGGGGGGGGGGGGGGGGGGGGGGGGGGTAGTGAGAGCATTTGTGTGTTTTTTACAGCAAAACAAAAAGATGAGGGGGGATTAACCCCCAAAACACCCACTCCTTCCCCCCCCCCCCCCCCCCCCCCCCACTGCGTACGCGCCCGGTAGTAGTAGTAGTAGTCACTATGAATATGACTGACAAAGAAAGCGGACAAAATATACAGTTCCTCAGGTAGACAAAGGAACATCCCTTCACTGCTATTATGTAAAAATGTGTAGAACAGGTGTCACAAGCATATTCACTTTCAGTTAGGCCTAAAAAAAAAAATTGATGACTTGGCGTAACGGGTCACTGAAAATTAGGGGAGGTAGGGCGATTTTTTTTTTTTTTTTTTTTTTTTTTTTTTTTTTGGTTGTTGTTGTTGTTGCTTATATTTGCATGCATGAAATTAGCCATTCATACACATACATACATACAGTGGCGTAGATAGGTCCTCAGACCTTGGGGATGATCTGATGAGAGGGGTAGACCACAATATGTTCAAATAACTCCACGCACACACACACACATATATGGACACACACACTGTGTAATAGTGACACTGTTTCAGACAACAGCAAATCAGAAAACGGATCACAGTTTTCCTTAGATGCCTTGATGTTCTTAACCACAAAATTATCAGCGGCCAGATCTTGAACGATTTCTCCGATTGTTGCTTCAATGTCCACCTTCCGAAGAACGCTGAATATAACGTGAGCACCAAATTTACCCGTGAACTGAACGCCATAGGACGCCATGTTGGGGATACAATCGCCTAGCGGTACTATGGCGTACCTGCCCGCTGCATGCACTCAGCGCGCGAGCTGGCCCAAACACGGCGCGGCAAAGCCCAGAACGAAAGCAACAAACATCCGGGTTTTCCCCACTGCGATATCGATATTTACGCAATCGCAATCGGATCAAAAAAAAATAAAAAAGCGTAGGGTCGGCGATAAAAATAGGGTCGGGCGGGTTACGCCAAGCAGGCGCGGATCCAGGGGGGGGCCGAGCGTGCCTTGGCCCCCCCCCCCCCGCAAAAAAAAAAAAAAAAAAAAAAGGAGAGGAAGAGAAGGAAAAGAAGGGAAAGAGGAGAGAAAGGGAAAAAAGAAGAGGAAGAAGAAAAGAAAAGAGAGAAGAAGGAGATCGGGGGAAGGACTTGCCTCCCCCTCCCCCCCCCCCCCAATAAAAAAATAAAAGAGAAGAAAGGAAAGGGAAAGAATAAAGATAAAGAGGAGATAAAGGGAAGGACAAAATAGGAAGAAGAAAACAAAAGAAGGGGGATATAAGTTGTAATTTTCCCGCCAACAAGGTGTAGATCGGAGGGGGGGGGGGCACTGGCATACTGATAGGGGAGGGGGGGGGGGGTTGGAAAAAATAGAATTCAAACGTGGTTTATTTATAATTCCATAACGGTGGTTTATAACAAATAATGCTGAAATGAGATAATTTTCCTCACTTCATGCGTTTGTTGGAAAATGACAAATTCCTAAATTTACAGCCAGGCAAGAAAATGCTTCTTGAGATGCCTACATATCAGGGCCCGCGGAACGGCGGGTATCGGGATCCTCGAGCCCCTCCCCCACACTTTCTTTGAAAAGGTATATTAAAGAGAAATAGAAAGAAAGAGAGCGAGAAAGGGCTCTGCCCCCTGGATTCCACCTAGGGCCCTAAGGCGGGCCCTTAGATGCTCATATGACGGTCATTTAATGCCTAAAACCCCTGATTTCTGGGGGCTCTGCCCCCTGGACCCCACGCCAAATAGTGTCCTGCTAGTGTCACAAATAATAAGGTATCAAAAATGCTCATCTGACCGTAATTAAACGCCTAAAACCCCTGAGATTCTGGGGGATCTGCCCCCTGGACCCAACCAAGAGCCCTTAGGCGGGCCCCTCGATACTCATCTGACCGTAATTGAGTGCCTAAAACCCTTGAGATTCCGGGGCTCCGCCCCCTGGACCCCAAGCCAATTAGTGACCTGCCATTGTAACAATTAGGTATAAAAAAATGCTCATCTGATCGTAATTAAATGCCTAAACTCCTGAACTTCCGGGGCTCTGCCCCCTGGACCCCGTCTAGGGCGCTAAGGCGGACCCCTGAATGCTAATCTGACCGTAAATTAAAACCTTAAACCCCTGAGCTTCCGGGGCGGACAAGGTATCAACATATGTTCATCTGACAGCAGGCGCGTAGCCAGGGGGGCGGTGGGGTGGTCCCCCAATAAACGCCGGCCAAAAAGAGAGGAGTGAAAAGGAAGAGGACGTAGGAAGAAAAGGGAATAGACAAAGAACATATTTGAAATTCAGACAAGGATTAAGAGTCGAGAACGGTACAACGAATCGTCTTCTTTCTTTAATGAATTAATGAAACGTCCAAGCTTCCGCGCTTCGCGCGGGGGAGGGCAGGGGGAACTTAATTCAGACGAGGATAATTTTCGGGAACGGTACAACGAATCGTCTTCTTTCTATAATAATTTAATGAAACGTCGAAGCTTCCGCGCTTCGCGCGGAAGGGGGGGGGGGAATTGATTTAGACAAGGATTAAGAGTCGAGAACGGTACGACGAATCTTCCTCTTTCTCTAATGATTTAATGAAACGTAAAAGCTGTATTCAGACGAGGATTATTTTCGAGAACGGTACAAGGAATCGTCTTCTTTCTCTAATGATTTAATGAAACGTACAAGCTTCCGCGCTTCGCGCGGGAGGGAGGAGGGGAAAAACTGAATTCAGATGAGGATTAAGAGTCGAGAACGGTACAACGAATCGTCTTCTTTCTCTGATTTAATGAAACGTAAAAGCTTCCGCGCTTCGCGCGGGAGGGGAAAAACTATTTTCAGACGAGTAGTCACGTACGGAAGGGGGGGGGGAGGGGGTTAGGGGGTTGACCCTCCCCCTTCGGTTTTTCATGTGTGTATTTTGGAGCAACCCCCCCCCCCTCTTCTGTGATTTTTTTTTTTTTTTTTTTAATTAAAAAAAAAAAATATGCCAATGGCTGACCTAAAAAAGGTGACCTCACCCCCCCCCCCAACGGAACAAAATGTCAAATTTTCAAATTTCGAGACCAAAAAAAAAAAGGTCCCCCCCCCCCCCCCGCTTATTTAGCGGCTGGCTGAGTCGTTACGATTTTTTGTTCGGACCAAAAAAAAAATGTGGGCCCCCCCCCCCCCCCCTAAGAAATCCTGGATCCGCGACTGACGCCAAGTCATCAATTTTTTTTTTAGGCCTTAAGGCCCATTCATTGAGATATGGTCCAGGGCATTTACGTGATTTCTAGGATATATAAACATCGCACACATTCACTCCTACAGCAACAAAAGAAAATAAAAGAAATTTGTCTAGCTTCACCACCTTTTCGGTGTTTAATTACTCAATTACAGTGATTATACAACATCTAAAGCGACGAACAAAATGCAAGTGACATATGCAGGTGAAGATTACCATATTCATGATTATGTAAATGATATTCATTACATTTGAAAAAAGTGAGATTATATTGTACAGTTCAATGAGTGCAGGGATTTCAAATCTAGTTTCTGTGAGAGTTGATCTTATCTAATGGTCAGATAGTAACATTTATGTTCTAGAAACAAAGTGATATTTTTGGCATTATTATGTTATGGTAACAACATACTCCACTATCATTGTAAAATATCGTTATTAAACTTCCAATACTTAAAAATACAATTTTTTCTGGGTTGCAAAAACAGGAAAAACAAATTACGTGTTCTTATTGATAAACTGATACACATGTAGCATAATCCTTTGATTTTATCAAAAGTATGAACTATTACTCCTGATAAGTGACACAATGAAAAAGTACGTGCAACTGAAGATTACCATATTTATGATTATTCATAGTATCATATTCATGAGAGTCATTACATTTGAAATAGTGAGATGAAGTTTTTTAGTATTATATTGTACAGTACAATGGGTGGTAGGGATTTCAAATCTAATTTATATGAGAGTTGATCTTTTCTAAATGGTCAGATATTAAGAATTAAAATTGAGAAACAGAGTGGAACTGGTTGCATTAATATCGTATGGTAACAACTTTCTTGACTATAATTGTAAAATATATCGTACCTAAGACTCTACTTTTTTTTTTTGCACAAACAAAAAATAAATTACGTGAAATCACTGGCAAGCTCATACAATTGCAGCATAATGAAACACAATGAAAAAGTAACTATGTTAACGTTCAATCATTTTAGGTGCTGTTATGAGTTTTGTCACGCTTAGCGTTTGTACCGCGGTTCAATTGTAAACTTGATGGCAATACTCCACGTTTCGATATGATTTGTCATTAGGATTACAATTAATGTAGAGATGTTTTTGACATTACATGGAAACTTCCTATATGGTTTTCGATACCATGAAAGTGAAAGACATCCCTTTCGTATTTGTATTAAATCTCAGTTCGTGTTAAAATGGGTTAAAGTTATTACCATTTTCCATAACTGGTAATGCCGATCACCCTATAATGAACGTATTCTGGGAGCAGGTTAATTACCTTCAGTACCCTTTTATATCCCATATAAATGATCGGATTACGTGTTGCGGCAAGGTATAAAGGTTGCACATTAATTTAAATCGGTGATGAACATTGCTATTAAAATTGGCTAAGGTTGATTTTTGCTCTCGAAAGTTCTTTGAGATCGAGTTTTCCTTAAAATTTACCATTATCATAGTAATGTATTGCTATAAATATCACACTGATCTTGATGATTGTACTATCAATGAAATCATTCATTCCAATGCTTATAACTTAGATATATATGTTATTCAATCTTTTGAAGTATTTTTGATAAAGACGATATTTCGTCACTTTAGTAGGTAAAGGGGATGAATCGAAAGATGTCATTGCATTAAAGTATGGACATAAATATTTTTTCTGATATCCTTTCGTTTGTTTGTTGTTCCTTTTTTTTTTATAGTTTAACAAAAAAGATATCATTGTTCATTCAACTCACAAAAATTAATAACAGAATGATCATGTATACATAATTTGTCATAATACTACAAGATATTGAAGTTACATTACTTTAGCATAAATGAAATATATGATTAAAAGATCGCACATTTCCATTTTTACATCTCCATATCAAACTATTACAAATGCATAGCAAAGCATATATACGCTTGGTTCCTAATTATTACAGAAATATAATAGAATCATATACAGTTAGAAGTTATTACTCATTTATAACAATGTAATATATTGTGCAATGAATGAATAATATTTCCAAAAGAGCCTCCCACACACACACATACACACACACGCGCACACACTCACACAGACAGACACACATAACATGTTACCTATCCACCTCTCCCCTTCAAACCCAAAACTTCCCAAACTCCACACCCCTTCCCTTTCCGAACAAAAATGATAAAGCAAAACAGGTAATCAGATATATGGTAACAGGGTAGGAAAAGACTCGCCGTACTTCTTATTGTACGTATCTTATGATGCACTAAATTTAGTTACAAGCGCATATTTCATGCAGGAAACTGTTAAATTAGAAGATGAAACTCGAAATTCATCAATGAATAACACCTTTTGGAAGTCATAACTTCAAGAAGACTTTTCAATGTTAATTGGCCTACACAAAATTTCCCTAATCACAGGCGCATGGCAAGGTAGGTAGGATGGGGTATCCAAAGTTCGTTTACATTTTAATCAAACGAATATTATATTCGATCCATATTTTCTCATATTATACAAACAATTATTAAAATCAATTAGTAAAAATAAACG